AAATCCAGGTACAATCTGATTATTTGGTTAGGTGCCATTTTATTTTTTTTTTATTTATTTATTTATTTATTTTTTTTATAGAGGCATGTTTTCTTTCTTTGTTTTTGTTTATACATGCACTGGGTACAGTCAGAAGCACGGGAGGGTGAGAGAATTCACCAGAGCCAGAGCAGAGAGCAGAGCAGGCAGAAGGACCGAAGTACACTGCTGAGGGGAGCAGCGGGCGGCAGGAGAGGTCTGCGCGCCATGTGGGACCCTCCTCCGGTGGCCGGGGAGCAGCCGGGGATCGAACCGGCGCTGCAGAGGCTGTGGGCAGCTTCGCAACCCAGCGCTCAACCGCTGCGCCACCGGGGAGGCCCTGGTTAGGTGCCATTTTAGAGATCGAAGTTTATAATGGGACCCCTTGGAGAAAAAAAAAACAAGATGTATATGATGGTAGAGGACAAACAAAAAGAGTTTGGGTCCCTAATGACGTGAACTGAGCTGCTGAACTGAGCCTACTTCTGACTACAACAGATCTTGATGTTGATGATGTAATAAATGACCTCATGCTTTAAGTTACTGTTAGTCAGATATTCTGTTCTTGTGGCCAAAAGCATCCTAATGGATACAATCTAGACAGGAAAAATTGTTTTTCCAAAGTTGCTGCCCAAGTATATGATGAGGAGGTTATCACGTTTCATCCAGGTGTCCATTCGTGTAGGTAGTAGTTCAGAAAAAAGAAAAATACTCCAGCCTTGTCTCAGATCTGGGTAAATTTAGAAATCCACTTCTGCTGGATTTTTCCTTTTTTCTCCCCAGATGCACTGTGTTATGGGAAGTCGAAAGGCTCTTTTTCCCCCTGACTTCTTGGAATTGACCATTGGGAATACCAGCAAGAGACTGAAGGAGAGAGTTGAGGAGATAGAAATCCTCCAGCTTTCTCCTTGGCTGATTACTTAGGCTGACTGCATCCCTTGACTGAAGGTCACAGACTTGGGTTACATTGCTCTTTCTGTGCTGAATTTTGGTAACCATTCCCTTTCCTTCCTTCTACAGATCCAGGAGCTTTAGCCCCAGAGTCTCACACTTCCCTTGTGGTTTCCCACATCTTTGTAAAGTACCATTTGTTTCCTGCTATGCCCCAGCTGATATCATGTGACCCAAATCACTGCAGCTGTTGAAGTTTGGTCCTGTCTGAGACGTAGTGAGACTCTATGCGGTTATTCATAGCGTGCACAAGGGCTTTCCCCAGCCAGTTAAGGGAGATAGGAGATGAAGTAAACATCAGGTTTCAAAAGTGAAACTAACTCTAATACGTAAAGCACTCTACGTCTGAGGATATGAAATCAGAGAAGGCAACCTGGAAGAGTTGGCATTTGGGCTGATGATAGATAGCCTTTTTAAATGACAAAGAAGAGTGGATGGAAGTCAAGCTAGGAAGTAGAGAAGGCTCAAGAACTTTGGAAAAATTAGTGTTAAAAGGACCCAAGATGTCCTTTATTCAATGTCAGCTCTCCCTCCACCTCCTTTACTAGTAGGAAACCTGAAGCTGAGATTTGGCCAAAGTCAAAGAGCAAGTATGTAGCAGGCCAGAACTGCAACTCTGTTAGCTGCTTGGCTAGTTCCTAACTCACCTACTTCTAACCTAACCTAAGGCATCTGCAATCAGTCTCCCATCAGAATGTGGCCTTCTGGAAAGCAGGGCCTGTTTTCTTTATCTTTGAGTCCCACTTCCCAGCAGTTTCTAGCTAGGCGAGGTACCATGTTCCCTACACCACTTAAGGGGCACAGCTGAGTGGCCAGGTGAAGCTATTTTACACAGTAAGTAGGTGGGCTCAGCAAGAGACACTTTGAGAAGGGTGTTTGCTTCTTGGCTCTGGACTTGCGCCACTGTCTTGGGGGACAGGGAAGGCGGTATGTGGAAGAGAGACGTGCAGAGACACTCGGAAGAGACATGTGGGTAAGAGATATGTGGGGAGGCTGACAATGGCACTTGTTTTTCTTGATTTGCACTTTGATTTTGCTCCTTTTGGCCCAGCTTTCTGGGACCTGCTTCAGAACTCCTTTCCCTTGGTTCCATGGCAGAAGGCGTCTTAGACTTGTGGCAAGCTTTTGGGCCTCAGTGGTGCAGCCTCAGACTGACCCCGTTTGGCTGGGCATTAACTCACAAGGGGATGAGGAACTTAGGGTGTTTAACTGGAAAATGAGTATCCTTTCTTTTCCTCTTATAACTGAAACCCTCGCGGCTCCAGTCTGTGCTCCCTGGAGGCATGTGGCCCCAGCTGAATGGCATCAGCCTGGGCTGAGCCACAGCAGCTGGGTTTGATGGTCGACCCCCCCCCACCCCCAACCCGCCCCATGCAGTTGGGTTTGGGTTTTAGAAAAAAAGAGAAGAGATACTTGGTAGTTTTGAAAATGCACAGTTAGGTTTAAACCTGGCTGGTGCCATTCAGGCACAGCAAAGCTCACCTGTCCAGCTCCAGCAAGAGACGGTTCTGGGCAGGTTGGATGCCCTAGTGGGTTTTGGTTTTGAATTCTGAGCTGGCTTTGAAAAAGAACCAGTCAACTTCAAGCTTGCACCAGCACCAATTAATTCTTGGAAACAGCTGGTTTGGAAAACGGTCCAATCAGGTTTGAAAGGCGGCTACCTTGATGGTGGATATAAGCGGAGCCGGAAAGGTTTTAATAAGAAGGCGCCACTCAGCTTTGGAGAGGCTTTAGAAGAGACACTTAGCTTGACTCTCCTCAGAACGCCTTCTATGCAGACCCTCACAGAAACCTCTTCAGTGTCATTCGTCTATGCTTGGCATCTACACAGACCTGTAAAATGGTCGGGTCTGGCACTACCCAACCTATGACTACACCCCAGCTGCCACAGATTAGGTGGATCCTGGTCCACCAGCTTGGCTTTCCCAGGTGTCTCCAGGCTCTTGAAGGGATACCACCATCTTGAACAAGCAGCTTCTGGTTTGGACTACTGGACACTATCTGGGGTAGGACAGTCGGCCATTTGGGGCCTCTTTCCTTTTCTTAATTACCTTTGTAAATAACCCCTGTTGTGTTGTACCTTGACATTGAGCCAGGCGTTGCAATTGTGAGCACAAGGGTGCGAACCCATTAACCGTGTCCATCCTTCAAGACTTTGCAATATTTCACTTTCTACGCACTAATCCTATTAAAGTTCTTTGACTCTAAAGAGTATACTCTGCGCACCGATGGCTGGAACCCTTTGGAGTGTGCAAGTTAGCGGGGGCTCAGAGGTACCCCTCAGTCTGTGCTCAGTCATTTTGTTAGGGGGAAAAGGGTGTCCTAAAGCTAATTCCATACAGGCTTTGTGGACTCCACCCCCACCCCAGGCCAAAGCCAAAGACACTGGGAACTCCAAATCCCATCAGCACCAAAGGGAAGGTGGCTGGGACCTGAGGGTGGGGTTAAGCAGCCAGGTTGGGATAAAGCCAGACACGTGGGCTTTGGGGGGAGGGTCCCCCATTTTGGCTCTCCGCCATCTCGCAGCGTCCAGCGAGCTCCGTCCAGCGAGCTCGGAGAGTGCCTTTGGGTTTCCAGGTCGGGGGATCGGGTAGGACGCATTAAAGATTATTTCCCTATTTTCTCCCTGAGTTGTCCATTTTCCTTCTTTCCTTTTCCCTTGTAAATGAACCTTTTATTAACCTTTTGTGTGTGCCTGTAGTGGAGTATTCATAAGTCCCTTGTAAGCGCGCGGGTGAGGACCCACAGCCAGGCAACCCGTTCAATATCGGGGCTGCCCTATAACAATTTCATCATCTCCAGGTACCAAATGTTAAGTGTCAGGTACTCTGCAGATATTTTATAGGCACCTCATGTAATCTTCACAGCTTGAAGGAGTATAATTATCTCTTTTCAGGCCAGGATGCTGCAGCTGAGTTGAATTTGCCTGGGTAACAGCCCGGTGGCAGGACTCCATCACCTTCCAGCAGCTGGACGCCGGAGGCCCCGCTTCAGTGGGCGTGGCGAACATCTGCTGAAAGAGCAAGAACCGGGGACTAACAGTAAGTGACGGGCGCAGCAGGCCACCCCGAGGCCCCACCACGGGGCAGGGGACCCCGCGCGTCCTCGCGCCCCGCCAAGTCCGCCCGCTCCTCCGGGCGCCGGGCACAGCCCCGCCCGCCCGCCTGCCACGCCCCCACCTCGGGGACTTCGGCGGCTCTTCACAGCCAGTTTTATCTCGGCTTCGGCTCGGAGGGCCGCCCTCGGCCCCGCGGCTCAGAGCCCAGCCGGCTCCCCGGCCCTGCCCCTCCCGGCGCCCTCCCTCTCCCTCACTCTTCAAACTTCTTTTTTCCTCCCTCTTAAAACTTCAGTCATCCGAGTGCCCGCCTCCTGAATTCCCGCCAGCCAATCGGCGCTGCTGCTCCTCGCCGAGCGTCCGCCCCCTGCCCGCCGGGAGCCAATCCCTGGCGAGGGGGTGGTGCGCCGGGGCTCATTCCCAGGCGCCGGGCCTGTGACGGCAGCGCGCCGGGCGCCGCGCGGCGGGAGGGGGCGGGGCGCGCGCGAGCGATGGGCGCGGGCGGGGGGAAGGGCGCGGGCGGGGGAGGAGGTTGCGGCGGGTTTGAAAGCGCCAGTTTCCTGGCGGCTCGGGCGGGCGTCGGTCTCCGCGCTCCGGCCCCGCCGCGGCGCCGATCGATCCGGCGGCAGGTCTCCGCGCGCGTCTGCGCGCCCCCGACGGGCCGTTCCCGCCCCGGCTCGCCCCGCGCCCCCTGCCCGCGCCCCGCCTCAGCCCTTCCCGCCGCCGCGCGCGGGGCCGGGACCCGCCGTCGGCTGCGACCCCGCCCGAGCCCCCCGCGCCGCCGGGCCGGCTCCCCGCGCGCCGCGGCCGGCCCCGGGGCGGCCCTCGCGGCGCCGGCCAGCCCCGGCGCGCCGCCGGAGGGGCGTCCGGGGGGCGCTCGGCTCCCGCGGCCCTGGTGGGGGGCGCCCCTCGCCGGGGCGCCCGGGCTGACCGGGGGCCGGAGCGGCGCCCCCGCCGCCCGCGCGGGGCCCCCCATGGTGCAGCGGGGGCCGGGATGTCGAAGACGCTGAAGAAGAAGAAGCACTGGCTCAGCAAGGTGCAGGAGTGCGCCGTGTCCTGGCCCGGGCCCCCCGGCGACCTGGGCGCCGAGATCCGGGGCGGCGCGGAGCGCGGCGAGTTCCCCTACCTGGGGCGGCTCCGCGAGGAGCCCGGCGGGGGCACCTGCTGCGTCGTCTCGGGCCGGGCGCCCGGCCCCGGGGACGTGCTGCTGGAGGTGAACGGGACGCCCGTCAGCGGGCTCACCCACCGGGACACGCTGGCCGTCCTCCGCCACTTCCGCGAGCCCCTGCGCCTCAAGACGGTCAAGCCAGGTGGGCGCCCCGCGCGCGGTCGGGGGGTCGGGGGGCCCGGGGCGCCCTGGGAGCGGCCGCTCCTCCCCGCCCCGGCCGGGGGCGAGGCGAGGCGGCTCGGGGGGCCGGGCTCGCCGGCCGGGAGGGGGGCCTTGGCGATGCCCGCGGCGCGGGCGGGAGCGCTGACCTCTGCCCCGGCCGCCTGCTCTGCGGCTGTCGGGGACCTGCGCCCAGGGGCGGGCTCCCCAAATTTATAGCTCGATTCCCCCCCCCCCGCCCTCCGCCCCCAGCCCCGGGCGGAGTTTTGGACTAGCCTGTGCGCCTTTGTGGAAAGGTGCTTTGGAGCGGTCACGCGTTTTCTAATGAGGAGCAGGGTTTTCACCGTGGGGGCACCTGGAGCCAAGGTTACCCACCACCTGGTGTGCCCGGGCTCGGCTGCCTGTCGCTTGCGCACTGGCCACCTCGCAGCGCCCTGTCTCGTGCACGCAGCCGAACTCCCTCCCGGGCCAGGTGGCTCAGGTGTCTGGGTGCTGAGGGTGCACGGTCTGGGGTCGGTCTGGGGTCGGGGGCCGGGAGCTGTTGAGCAGTCTGGGGTGCGAAAGAGGACTTGGGGTGCCTCGCGGAGTGCGAGCTTTTGTAAGTCTTTGGTTTTGCAGGATTTTGTGGAAGTGGTGGGTGAGAGGGCCCGGTTGCCGTGGTGCCTTTTCTGCTAGTACGATCTGCAGCAAAGCGAAGCACGTTGCGTTTGTAGCCTGCTTGTCAGTTCCAGGGCATTGATCCGACTGCGTCCGGCGAAATCTGATCGTATGGGATGGTCTTTAGTGTGTTTGTTGCTGACAACACCGGTCATTGGTCATTTCAGCAAGGGTAGGATGTGGTTTCTGTTTTCGGAGACGTTCGAAGGAGGAGGGAGTATTAGGATTACGTTATTAGAAATCAAACTATTTTCGCTGAATACATACTGTATTAAAATACAGTGTCCTGCTTGTCTGTGACTTGGGCTAGAGGAAGCCATCCATCCCTCCACCAAAAAAGGCTAGAAAATTCTGGAGAAAATTTAACCTCTTTCTTGGCAGCTCGCTTTGGAGATATCTTTTTAATAGTCTTTGGGCTTAATCAGAACTGATGGTTTGTGGTGCAGTATGCATAGGTGTGTACTCTCACACACACACGTCTCTGTAATCTTAAATCGTTATTTTATATGGTCTGTTCCATCATATTCATTTTAGGCTTATGGATTTGTGTGAGATTTTCTTATTGCTAATTTCAAAAACTTTTTGGCAGCCTTCAAACATCTTTTGTATTAGTTTTGTGAATTCAGAATTTCTCAAAACTTTTAGGGTCATGTGGAGGGAGGTTGAAAGGCTTTAGGTTGTAATTCAGCTAAGGCACTGTCATATGCAAAATACATGGTACCTACTGGTCTAGATGCCCTTTAGTTCAAATCCCATGAGTCAGAGACTCCTGAAAACATCTGCATCATTGCTTTTGTGTTTTGTTTTGATTAGCGAGACACAGGTGAGACTATAACTTTTGTTTTCAAAAAGTTGAAAAATTGATGAGGAAGTTGATATATTCTTCTTGTGATCTTTTGGAAGCCTGAGGAGATGAATCTTTAATCTCAGTGTGTTCTGCATGTTAGACATTTTCCTAATCTTTATATCAAACTTAATAACTCCAAGTTTAGAGTGTATTTAGTAATGTTATTTAACTGTTGAATAAGCATCAAATGTCCCATAATGTAGTTGACATATTTTATAAAGTTTAGTCATTTGGATAATCTCAGATACTGTTCTGTTAACTATTTGGTTAAACTAAAGGCTAACTTATATTACCTTCTTCATAGCTTCTTGTTAGACATTAAATTACTTAATGACTCCTTAAACAACTTATAAAATAGCAAAAGTTTTGCTCTTTAAGCACGAGACTTTAAAAATTAGAAATTAAGAATCTGGACAGAGGTTATTCATAGAACTTTAGGTGTGATTAAAAACAACATAACATCCCTAGAGGAGAAAAAGACTATACTCTCGGGGTTAATTTTGAAAATATACGGGGTAAGGAAGTTTCTAAAGGTACTTACTCTGTACATATGTTTTAAATTATCTGAACTCTGTGAGAAATAAATTCTCTGTGAGAAATGAATTCTTGATATATTAAGGCATTGTAAAGTGTATTTAGCACTGTCTCTTGTTTTGATGAGTAACTATTAAATATATTCATAACTTGTCATTTGGAAAGTAGCACAACGCAAAAGTAAAGTTGAACCATTTCTATACCATGTAGTATTAGCTGGGCCGTAAAGATAAGGCTGAGGCTGCACAGGTTCTTCCTTAGCTTTCTTCTTTTCAGCTGGTAGGGACTAAGGGAAGCCCAGCCAAAGCCAGCACTGTCAATCAGGTACATGAAGGAAGGAAGGTTCTTTCTGCCAGTAACCATCTCTAACTTTGATGTGGGTTTTTTAAAATAACCTTTATGGAGATTTGAAAGTAACTCTTTTCATATGGCTCCTAATCCAGGGCTTTTCCTGAGAGAATCTGACAATTTCTTATTGCTTTAGTATAAATGTACTTAGCAGTCAGAACTTTCTTGCTTCTAGGAGGATCTTTAGTTCTGCTTATTGCTTGACCCAACTAGTCACCTGTTTCTTACTTGCAGCTTGTCGTTTTTTTGCACAGAATTTTTCACTTGAACTTTGTAGTTTCCTAGTAGGAAAGGAAGGTGAACTTTAGAGCTCTGGTGAAATTGTTTTATGATACAGTCCTGTCACCAGGATGAGTTACTTTTATTTACATCAGAGTTTATTTTATTTATTTATTTATTTATTTAATACTATCAGAAATTTAACTTTTTTTTTTTAGATTTATTATTTATTTATTTGTACAAGCACTGGGTACAGTCAGAAGCGCGGGAGGGTGAGAGAATTCACCAGAGCCAGAGCGGGGAGCAGAGCAGGCAGAAGGACCGAAGGACACTGCTGAGGGGAGCAGCGGGCGGCAGGAGAGGTCTGCGCGCCATGTGGGACCCTCCTCCGGTGGCCGGGGAGCAGCCGGGGATCGAACCGGCGCTGCAGAGGCTGCGGGCAGCTTCGCAACCCAGCGCTCAACCGCTGCGCCACCGGGGAGGCCCTACATCAGAGTTTATTTTAAAACAATTTCTGTTCTGATTAATGATAGTAGTTACTTTTGTTCTACCAAAGTGCCCCAGACTGCGAGTGTTCAGAATTTTATGGAGTAGTTACTTCCTATATTTTTAAATAGTGATTATAAATTACATAGATTTTATTACAGATATAAGTATTGATACAGTAAGTATATGGAATCACTGTCTACTGTTTTATTATGTGCATTCTGCATTTAACTACCCTAAGTCTGGGACTATATCTAGAGATGAAAATCATGAGGAATAATCTTACAGGTTGTTTAAACAAAAACTACTTGGAGAGATCTTGTTTAATGTTAATTGAAGTCCTCACCAGACTTGTAGACCTCTGATTTATAAGGGAATTTGTTAAAATGAGCACATTACCAGAAATAACATTTCCCTTTGGTGAAGAAACATCATAGAAGCTTTTAAGTAAGGATGTTTATGTTTTGCAAATATTGAATACGTCTGTCCCTTTGTTCTCTTAACTCTTGGATCTTTTTGATAGTGTTTTAAAAATTTGTTTTGTGGGTTATTTGGGACTGCCAGTAGGTTTCATTTGGATGGTTGTAATATTTGAAGAAGAGAAGGTTGAATGAGATTAGATTTAATTGCTAGTTTCCTAGGTTGCAATGCAGTAAATGTCTCATTACCTGTCTTTAAACAATAGAGTAGAAGTTGGGTGGGGAAGTCCACTCATTAGGGAAAATAGCATCAAATTTTGATAAGCCTTAAACTTGAAATTTTCCTGCATTTTCAAATTTGAATAACAAAATGTTGGGTTTCAAGTTGGTCTTGGTAACTCAAGGTTGAGGTTCCAAACTGTTTAGTGACACCTTTGGTTCCTAAAGAGTAGTGGCTTGTGCTGGAGTGACAGAGCCAACAAATCCTTCACATTTGGCCTTTAAGTTTTCTGCTCATTTTTATTTTACTTTGTTTAATGTCAAAACTGATGCTCATGGAGCTATGTTCTGGAGAACACATTGTTCTTCATCTGAGATCTTCATAAAACCTCTTGTTATGAGAGACCGGTACCAGTGATTTTTTTTTTTTCCCCCTCCCTGGTCTCTAATTTAGGTAAATTGGTGGTAAAACAAATCTGTATTTATTCAAGTATCTGACTTAGGAAGTCGGGCATAATCTTCTCAGGTGAATAGTTTGATATAATGTCTTTACTAAGTGCTTTCTAAGTTTTATGGGTACCTGGTGTTTGGGGAGCATGTGGTAGGATAATCTCATTTTTATGAACCACTTCGATGTCACCTACCATTTTCACACTCTGCCAGTTTCCCAGTCCACTTTTGGTTGGTTGTGATTTGACACAGGCTACTTAGTTTGGAATTGAAGACTAGAACTATGTCCTCTTTAATTATTTTTTCTTTCTTACATTTTGAGAATTTCCTACATTTTGGTGAAGAGAACAAAAATCCTTTAATTAAAACCCTTCCTGAGGTAATATTTTCAGTAGTTGGGCAGCTGCTGGTGTTGTGGGGCTGGTTTGTGGGGGAAGTGGTGCGAACATATTATTGTTCCGTCTTGGGCAAATGTTACTCAGAATGTTTACCCCCAAAAGGTGCTTATTTTACTTCATAAAGAGAAAATAAAATGTTCTGTTACTGGTACACATTCATTTCCTCAACAAACATCTAATGGTGCGCCCTTCTTGAGAGCTAGCACTTGGGATACAAAAATATAAATCAGAAATGGTCTCTTGTCAAGTAGCTCATAATTTAGTGGGAGCTGAGTGACTCATGGGTAAGGAGTACCTGCAGCAAGGGTGTTACCTTTTCTACCTTTCTCCCGGTGCTTAAATAAAATTCTCTAGGTAAGTTTGGTATGAATTTTCACAGAAGCTAAACTAATGGGCTACCTAGGCA